TTACGTGAAAACGCGGAGATTAACCTCAAATCACTTATGAGGCCCTCCTTCTAGCGTCAAACTGTTGTTATGTGATTTTTAACAACGATGTAACTTGTGATTAAGTGGATAATTTTGAATGATTTGGACGTAAAGCATGTAAGATTAAATCGACAATGGCCCGGTCCGAGGTGAACCGAGGTGAAGAGCCGTGATGGGCTTTTACGTGTTGCTTAGTAAAGTTTTTTCAGTTCGGGGAGAGATCCCCGTACAAATGTCATGGGCCCGCTATTTATAGTAATTTCGGGTTGATACATTGGGATCTGTGCATTACTTTTTCGAATAAAGTTACTTTTTGTGGGCGGTTTGAGGCAGGGGGTCCCACATAAATGATGACGGATCTTGTGGAGCAGGAGGGTTGTTCGTAGGCACCTTGTCACCTGCTTAAGGAGGTGACGATCTCGGTTCTATGTTGACCTCGGTAGACGTTGACCTCGGTAGTCGTTGACCACTTTGGTCTTCGGTAGTTCGGTCCGGTTTGTTGCCTGAACCGGGGTGGTATTTGAAATTACGTCGGTTCAATGACTATCTGCCTTTTAATGTGTCATTTGGAATCTCTTGATGCAGGTTTACCGATCCGGATGATAACATTGTACACCCAAACACGTCTTGAAAAGTCAACAGTGAAAGTGACAAAATAGCCTCTTCCGCCTAATGATGGGGTCTTAGAAGGTCCCCACACGTCCGAATGAACATAATCCAAGATACCTTCAGTATTATGGATAGTCGTTCCAAACTTCACCCTCTTCTGCTTTCACAGAACACAGTGCTCACAAAAATCTAGTTTGCACACTTTGACATCTTTCAACAGTCCTTGTTTTGCCAATGTTTGCAAGGACTTTTCACCAACATGTCCCAACCGCATATGCCACAACTTGACTGCTTCAGACTTCTTGTTGGTGGAATCTGCTACTGTTACTGTCCCAACAACTGTATCACCTTCATAGTAATACAAATTATTCTTCCTGATGCCTTTCATCACCACGAGCGAGCCGGATGTAGCCTTCATAACTCCATCTCGCAAAGTCACTACCAAGCCTTTGGATTCCAAGGCTCCTAATGAGATGAGGTTTTTCTTCAAACTCGGCACGTACCGAACATCCGTCAAAACTCTGGTGGAACCATCGCGATTCTTCAAACGGATTGAACCTATCCCAGTTGTCTTACAGGCATTATCATTACCCATATATACAACCCCTCCATTGATCTTCTGAAAATTGAAGAACCACTCCCTTATGGGAGACATATGGTAGGTGCATCCTGAATCGAAAATCCATTCGTCCGGATGAGATGATGAAGGTGAAACCAAAAGTGAAAATTCTGAGTGTTCACTTCCACCCTCAGCAACATATGCATCTAGAGGAGATTTTCCCTTCTTCTTCAACTTATGACAGTCTTTCTTCCAGTGTCCCTTCTCATGGCAGAAAGCCCACTCGTCTTTTTCAAGCTTGGCTTTGGAACGTGATCTTCCTCGTCCATTCTTCTTTTGGCTCTTCGATCGACCTCTTGCAACTAATGCTTCATCTTTTGCTGCTGCATTCTTCGTCTCTTGTTTGTTCTTCTTCCCCAACTCATAGTTATACAGGCAGAACTAAGCACTGCAAGATTTACATCGTCCTTCCCATGGAGCAGAGTAGTCTCTAAGTGCTCGAAGTGGTCTGGAAGTGATGATAACAACATTAGAGCCAAACCTTCATCGCTGAATGTGACGTCCAAATTCAACAAATCTGCAACTAACTGATTGAATGCAGTGACGTGATCATTCATCGATGTGCCATGCTGGTACTCAAAACGGAACAATCGCTTCTTCATGAGGAGCTTATTCTGGTCACTTTTCTTCAGAAATTTATCCTCCAAAGCCTTCCACAAAGTGTAAGCAGAGTTCTCAGTCTTGAACGCGTACTTCTGCTCCCTCGACAAACACGAACGAATTGTTCCACATGCTATGCAGTTGATATTCTTCCAGTCCTTCTCTTCAATTTCTGTTGGCTTCTCCTTTTCAATCGCAATGTCGATGCCTTGCTAAAATAAACAATCTAGCACCTCGTCTTGCCACATGCCGAAATGACCTGTCCCGTCGAAGATCTCTACCGGGAGTCTGACGTTCGGCATCACCGTCCTTGCCGGAATGAATGCAGAGGATGATGCGCCCTTGACCTCCTTGGACATCTCGAACTCGAATGCAGTGCTCGCCTCTCCGAATGAGCCTGGGATGAACCTTCGGCTCTGATACCACTTGTTGGGGTATCACAACAAGCGCAACGGACAAAAATATTCCTCCAACGAATATGGCGAACACTACTCCAAAATAAGCCAACACAAATAAAAGACGAGAAATAAAAGAACACAAAAATTGATAACGGAGTTCGGCGAAAATAGCCTACGTCTCCGGGCACCGCCAACCGCAACACCAAATTTACTAAACTCACCAACAAAATACAACTAGGGTTAAATAACCCACAAAACAGGATTTCCTTAATTAAAGATTTCCTTCTAAATAGGAGAGAATAGATGCAATTGTAATCCAAAGGCAAGGGACCTATTTATACTAAAAAGATCCTACACATCTTTGGTATACATCCGATGTGGGACAACAATTAATCAAAAAACTAACACGCAAACCCTATAAAATTTAACATCATTATGATTATGTTCTTTTCAGGTTGAGAAACTAATTGTCTGTGGTATAGCTTCTTTAGGGTATGATCACATGGAAATTCTTGGTTAGTGCTTTCTCTCCATGATATTTAGGCAACTGCCTGATCTGAGTAATTAGCTTAAACTTTGACATGAATAACTAGGGAGTGGACATTTTCATTTGTTAGAAGGAGTGAGGTTTAAAAATATTATGTGTGCATCTTTCTGGAAAGTGGGGATGTCTTCCGCATATTTTTATTCATTTCTTTAGTGCGGTTTGTAAAATAAAACCAAATATCAAGGGGCTATAAAATATTGTAAACAACTAGATCACTTTGGATTTTTTTTTTTTTTTAAAAAATAAGGAAATTTCATTAACTGTAAGAAGTTGTTGAAAATTGCCAATGGAGTTTGGTTTAATGATAGTTTTTTAGATCTTCTATGCACCTGGGCACCAGGTTGATCGCAAAACTGAAAATGATTGTAGTTCACTTTCCTTGTCCTTTTTGTTTTTCGTTTTCTTCTTCTTGCCTACCAAAGTCCTATGATTTGGTATCTGGAGCGGTTTCGCTCAACTTTATAGATGATGGATATGTTTCTTTGTTCTCACATGAGATATTTATATGTTCTGACACATTTATTTTATAAACTTGCACAGGTAATACCCTTGGACAAATTGCTGGGAAAAAGGGTGGGATTTTCAAGGTATTATGATTGACTTTCTTCTTTTGTCATGATCACTAATTCTTGGAGTCGTCAAATGTTTGTGTTACACGAGCATTGTAATTCAAGTTATTTGCTCACCCTTCGGTAGTTTGTTGAGTAGCACTTGAGAGTCTTTGAGCTTCTTTGATTCTTATTCCCTCCCTCTACTTCTCCCTACATGGAAAAAAAAAAGTCAATTTCCTTCATGACACTGTTTTACCATAATCCATGTTTTTTTTTTCTTTTAATAATTAGAGTGGTGTTCCAGCCTTTACTGTACCACAGCCAGAAGAAGCCATGATGGTCCTTGAACAGAAGGTTTCACAACTGGATGTAAGTTACAATTTCTCCCCACTAGCTTTAGTCATATGCTGAAGTAGAATTGTGGGTTTCAAGTCTCAGCCTTAATATATTTACCACATATCTTTATGGCAGTGCCTGATTTATGTCTTTCTAAGGATAAGTCGTTGATTTTACTATGAAAAAGTAGCAATTTTCGTTAATATTAGAAACCGGAGGTGTGAAATTATATGGACTAGGATCGACTGATCGAAGACCTGTTTTTTCTTTAGGAATTTCATCAGAGCAAATTGCATAGGATGGAAAAAGATTGCTCTAGATTAGCAATTAGATACAGATTTTAATTTCTTTCTGTATTCGTGTTGTGCGAAATTCTTGATAACTTGGTCACCCTTCAAGTAAATAATGTAGACCTGGTTTCTATGATGGCGTTTTACGTACTGGCTGATGCTCAAAGTTATTTTCAGCCAGATTTGTTTGTCTTTCATTTTGAGCTAATACATTCACTAAGTAAGCTATTACAATATACTACGAGCAGGTAAATCTTCAAGTTGTTGCTCCTTTAGATCCTAGCCTGCTAAGTTGTCTACATCTAGGACTTGAAGGGGAGCACCAATATTTGAATGTGAGCCTTACAATTACCTAGTCCATACTCGACCAGGTAATCTTTAATATCACTTTCAGGTGACCTTATCTGCTTAAGTTTACAGGTTAGCATTTGTTTATTGGCATTTGGAATGTGCATAGTAAACAAGAAATTTTAACAGTAGTAAAAGTATTTATGTAAAATGTATGCTCAAATCATGCGTACAATTTTCTACCATTCTGAGGCGGACTTTCAATCCAAACCACTGTTTCAAATTATATAGCTTTCATGTTCTTCTGTGATTGAGAATGGGATTCTTGGCTTTTTTGAAAGGAATGTTCTTTGCGCACGTGTTGGGAATGCAAAGATATGTTATTTGCGCATGTGTTGAGGAATATAAAAGATGAAAAATTGAAGAAAACTAACAGAGAGGTTTTGGGGTTGTGTTTGCAGTCTTTTTTGCAAAAGTAGAGTGAAAAAGCGATGTTTGGTTTGAATCTCAGGGTTGTTTCATTAAGGGCTGACAGAAAAAACTGCGGTTTTTGTAATTTTCTGATTATTTTTTAGAGGACTTCACTAATGAGGACTATTATTTGGTGACTCGATATTAATTCTCTTATTTAATTGATAATTGATAAAGATGGTGAATAACATTAAAAACAGAGAATAAGATTCTTATTTATTGATAGTGAAGTTAAGCTGCATATTTTGGAAGGCCATTGATCTTGATTCTTCTTTCATCTTTGTGTGTGTGTGTGTGTGTCTTCCATTACTTTTATGTGTTTATATATATGCAATTTCTTTGATTTTGTGTGAAGCATAGTCCAGACTGCTTTCACTTAGTGAAATACTGAGATTCATACAAAATCCATGAATTTGTAACTGTGCAATTCCATTGATGGAATTTTTGTGGCCTGCATTTTTTGAAGCTCTTTATGAACATGCTACAGTCAACCTTTCAGGATGAGATGAAAGATCAAGTTTATGCATTCAGAAGTTAACTGGGTTCTAAGGGGGAAATATCTAAAGTTTTAGAAAACACCAAATCCAAATTACAAGTTACTCAAGTATTTGATTTTGTCTCTCATTTGTAGTCATCTGCATGTTTTTGTAATGATTATTATCTAATTTGCTGGTGCATTGTTTTTAACAGGCCAATGAATGTGTGAGGGCCAAATGGGCTTCAAGAAAAATGAATATGAACCCAAAACACAACAGCTTATGATGCCGCCATTTGCAGCCGCTCGGCCAGTTTATGACACCGACACTGACAGCTTAAAAGGCTACACTTTCGGTTTAAGCTAACGAAACACGTCTCCAAAGATGATCAGACTTCATCCTGTATCAAATGATAGTTTTTCAGATGATTTTAAGCTCACTTCACTATTGCCAGCAGTTTCTTCGGCAAGCCAATCTTCAGATGAGGAGCTAAAAAGGAAGGATGGATTTTTGGTTTTGAGTAGAATGAAGATGATGAGATGAACTCCTATGTTTTTTAGATCTATTCTGACAACA